GGGTGGGGTGGGGGAATTAGGTGGGGTTTTTTAATGTTTGCGGATTAAATCCGAGAAATCAAATTTTCATGTCACACTATATGGTCTGTTGCCTCCAATCACCTTCCAGTGTAGCTACGGAAGTATTTAAAGCACCTCATAAACATTGATTTTTATTTGGCTACTCTGCCAGGTTTTCTTTCTGGAACACCCCTGAGAGCTTCAACAGAACAAAAATCACTGACAGTCATTTAAGGCCAAGTTACACTGCGGTAATTTCCGACAAACAATTGTCTGATGAATATCTAACCCTTCTGTTTAGTATAATAATACTTCCAAACTGTAACATGATTTATCACTCTAAAGGCAGCAATCAGTATTTAGTTTAAGGGTTCTCTTTCTTGTGTTTTTCTTTAAATTATTTATGCGTCAGTAAAACTAACACAAGAAAATGCGAGGAAAAGAAAACTGAGAAAGGGGAAGCGATCTTTCGATAAGCTAACATTGCGAAAAACAGTAATCTTTGAAAAAGTCTTATGCTACAATTTAGTTTAACAAAGTGAGATAAGATAGGTAACATATCATTATTTTCATCTATTTTTTATGATACAAGTTTTGCTTCATTCCTTTCGTTAGATAAACTTTGCAATTTGTACATTGTTAAACGTTGACGACAGCCACAAACAATTAAGGTTCGCCTCCAAGAGAGTTTTTTCTGTTAAATACATATTTTCCCAAGGCTTAATCTTTAAGAAAAAAAATACTAGTACTATTTGGTCCTTAATTAAGGTAATCATGCGAGGCAGCTCCACCTGCACATTACTTTAAACTTCCGATCGACAGGCATTAAAAGACACAAATCCTACGTAAAACACGTGCCTGGAGGCGAGCGTTACCGAAGATTCAAAAAATATATATATATTTTTCTAATCTTTTTCAACCCTTTCCTTTGTCAATTGTAGAGAGCAAGATATAATTTTAATGCATCAAAAAAATTCGTGTCTGTTGGGCTGCTGAGGTGGTAACTTCGAAATGGAGACCGGTTTCATGTTGAAGCATGATAAATTTGCGTGTGACAATACAATAGAACTCCATCCGAACTGTTGCAAACTTTTTCTATCCCTCAGTTTTTACCTGTTTACTGGCAAAGTACAGTTTATACTGGTTTGTACTTGGTGGCGAAAGGAAGGAAGAAATTGAGTATTGGAAAAAGTTCTAATTTATTTATTTATGAATTTATTTATCTATTTATTTATTTATTTATGAGATACCACAAACGTCAAGCGATTTGTACCCCAAACAAAGGAACGAATGTTTTAATAATAAAATAGCGTTGTTCCACTTTTGAATTGCCACGTTAGTACTATACAAAAAACGCTTTAGAACATTATGTGACCTTTTGTTTTCTTAAAATGTAGTGTTGTTTCGTTTTGATTACGTGATTATAAAATATACTTTTTTGGCTAGCCGCACAAAGAGTTGTTTCAGTTTAGTTTCTTTACGTCATAGAAGTATATTAGGCCTTTTTTCACGCGAACATTTAGTTTTAAGGAGTTGTCCCTGAAGCAAATAGGGGTTTTATAGGACTCTTTCGGTTTTTTTTTTTTTTTTTCTTTTCACAACATGGAGTTTTCTCTTTCCCGGAGTGAAGATCAGACATAAGTCATGATCATTAAGTTTCCATCAGTTTTTAGTTGTGCTTTCTGTCGTCAGATTTGTAATTTAACTCGTTTCCTTACCTTAGACAAATCGTGCATTTCTTTTTAGTTTTCACCGCAAGTGTTGTAACAAGTCGGCTAGCCTGATTACATGATTTAGCCTAATAAACGATTGTAAGAGTCTTCTGTACGCGCTGTACTTCATTGTGGTTAACCTGGCGAACCCAATTACGCCGCACCCCATGTCTGCCGTGTTGGGAACGCGACATGAATAATTAGGAAGACGAGGTGATCTTGATTCATTTTATGTAAATAGCTTGGTTACCTGAACCTGTACACATCGACCAGTTAGCCAGCGAAAAGTCTGGTGAGACAATCAGCGTTCCACACGGACTTAACTGCTTGAGGTAGCTGATTGATAAACTTTCCAGAAAATTTAGATGTAGTGGTATCCTTTTCAACTATTGTAACCTTTTCCTCGAGGAAAACCGATGAACACCGTACCGTTCGAGCTTGGAAAATGAAATAATTGTAGAGAAACAAGTTTAGTTAACTCCTAGCTACACATCATATAGGACTTCTTTTTCTTTTTTTTTCCTTCTAACTGCCTTTTACCGTTAAAGTGCCACTACGACGAAAATTTTTGTTTCTGGTTTTGACATTTATTAGCGCCAATCAAGTTAATATGGTTAGAATTGTACTATGCGATAGGTTTTAGGTCGATGGAAGAGAAATACGCCTTCATATAGCATGAGTTGGCCTGTGACGTCATATGCGCACTTTCGCATCGTGCTTCGTGTGTTGTGAGAGATTCCACAGCGGAAATTCTAGGCGTTTTATAAGATGCATTCTTCCTCGAATTCTTCTTCCAAATGACATACAATCTTAGCCACGTTTTTTAGGTCGAGCTGCGCATATGACGTCTCTTCCGAAAGGCTCCAACTAGTGCCAACTCTTTTTGCAACACTCGGACATTTTTGAATTGAGTAATGGCGAGCGACCAAAAACGAAAAGCAAGGTTGATATAATCATACTTCCCGTGAGAATTTTGCGATTAAACTTGACATGATAAGTGTTTCTTACTTCTAGTTTCCAGAAAAGAAAAGAAAAGGCAATGCGAAATTTTGATCGTAGGGGCACTTTACGATAGGAAAACTAATGATTTGACCGATATGAGCAAGTCATTAATTGTTTTCCTAAACTTTCTCTACATAGATTATGATATCCAGACTCAGATAATCAAGTAATATCAAGTACATTTTTCCTAATATCTGCAAGTCAATAGCTCCTGTACTAAAAGCCCATTTACATAGATGATGCATGGAAACTGTAGCTCAGATAACCAAATAATATCGTAGATTTTGTTTCAAAGCAAAACTAGTTGCTAAACATCGGTTGCACCAATAAATACGTAACTCAAATTATGTAAATATATTTCACTTTGGAACCGGCGTTGAATATCTTACTTTTCCTTCAAGTACGTGCCCTAAAAGATATTAATTATTAGAAATACATCTGTTATCATGCATAGTAAATAGAAGGACAATTTTCACGACCTATTTCCCCTTTTTGTTTAATTTTCATTTTCTACACGACATAAGGTGCGCACGCTGTTATCGACTGAAGGGCAGTTATTCTCCAGACATCTGTTTACTTTGTGTCCACAGAATTTAAATCATCCCGAAGTTACAAGAAGGAAGTATTAATGAAAGACAAGAGACGACAATTGTTCTCTCTTGAGAAGAGAAATTTCCAACAGCGGAAGGATTTAATTTCAGAGTAGAATGCCCTGCACGCAATGTCACCAACTGAGGGAAAATTATATTCCGGACATCTGTTTACTTTGTGTCCACAGAATTTAAACCATCTCAATAATATTGGAACGAAATATTCAAGAAAGGCAATTAACTACGTTTGAAGAATTTCACTTCAGAGTCGATTACTCTGCGAATACAAAAGTTGACTGCTTATTTCTGCTAATTGCGGTTGGACCTCCGTTGCACCATCCTTTCAAAACTTTTTTTCGCGGATTGTGGATCCTATTTTTTTTTTCGTTCATTAAAAAACTTTTAGGACCACTTTTCTTGTCAATAAAGGCCTTTATGGAACGAACAAAATAATACAAGGTTGCTTGTAGATATGAAATTTCTCTTCTTGTTTTCGATGCGATGAACAAATGTTAGAATAAAATTTTTGGAGAGGATGTGGGCGAAAATAATCCATATAAAGCGATTGTGCTCTCTTAAAGTATTGAAGGGAAAAAAGGGAAAAATACAAGGGAAAATGCACAGACTTTCAAACGCTTTTCATCAGTGGAAGACAAATAAAAGCAAAACAAAAACAATCATCGCAACAGTAATTTTTCCCAGTGAATTTGTACGCGTTTCAGGCACCCTTGAATTATTGTGACCACAAGCAATTTCTCTCAGTTCCGGAACTTTCGTTGCATAATAGAAGCTTCGAAAAGGGAAAACATTTCAGCCATAAATTAGGGGGCAGTGGACAGGAAGGTTAATTCTGCGTATTAGGGACATTCGGAGGGAATCCAAACTTGCACAATTTTCATGCCAATCGTTTCATATTGATCCTGTGCCTCCAAATGCCTTCCAACGTCGCTACAAGCAAATACAATCTACCTAAAAATCATTGATTACGCCTTCCATAGCATCTTTTTTCTTTTTCTTCTGGAACATCAGTGGGAGCTTCCACAGAATAAAGGGCGCTGTATGGGAAATATTGGTTACTTCCGACATAAATCTTACGAACTGAGGAATGAATTTCTTGTAACATGATTTATCACAGCGACTGTAAAATCAGCAGTCGGTAAATGCGACATGTATTTTGCTAAAGGTGCTATTGTTTCTTGGTCGTTTTTCTTTGCAGATGACGCATCTACGATACACATCGCTCGTTCCATTGTTAAAGTTTTCAATGTATCAGTAAAACTTATAAAAGAGCAGGAAAACGAGGAAGGGGAAATGATCTTTTTATAAGCCTATAATATTGGGCGAAAGGGTCCTTTCGTTAGTTTGATAAAATAAAGTAAGGTAACTAGTATATTGTTTGGCATATGAAAAGCAACTTACAACTGTCAACTTTTTTCTTTTTTTTCATATTTTTCAGTGGTTTAATTTTTACATTCACGGGAGCCTCGTGATAAATATGGAATCACGATAAATACCACAATCAGCTAAGGTAAGTTTTTGTTCTGCTGAATAGTAATGTTTACAAACCTCCTTAGTCGTTGAGAATCAAATAATATTCTTTTTCTTTTCACCGTAGACTGGAAGACTGATTAATTTTACATGCGACAAAGCATCAGTTTCTGTTACATTGCCGAGAAATCGGTTTTATCTTGAAGAATGAGTAACTTCACTTGTATTAATGTGACAGAACTCAGCCCATACTGCTGCAAACTGTTTCAAAGCGACACGGAAGCAGTCAAAGGAGTTAAAATACTATTTTACTGCGTTCTTCTATTTATGTCAATTATTGGAAACTCGTTGGTCGTTGCCATCGTCAAGATGAATAAACGAATGCAGAGCATTACAAATTATCTCATCGCCAACATGGCTGTCTCAGACATCATCATAACAGTTCTGGTAGTTCCGCGACAGATAACAGAAATATTGCTTGGCCCACGATCGTGGCTGATGAGGGGATTGTTGGGCTCCATTCTCTGTAAAAGCCTTTCCTTTGTATCGGACACCACGACTGATGTCTCAGTCTTAAGTCTCATGGTCATTACTGTAGACAGGTATAGAGGAATCTTGTTTCCTTTCCAAAAACAACTTTGGAGTCCATCTAAACTCTGTAAAATCGTTATACCACTGATATGGATTATATCGATGTCTTTTCACGCAGTGTACTTCGATATTTTTCGCCTTGTGACATACGACGGAAATGGATATTGCAATGTGCACTGGACTCCAAAGTGGCAAAAAATATATTTTGTAGCTATAATTGTTTGTTTGATAGCTGTTCCAGCTTTCATAATCACATTTCTGTATTTGCGTATTATTCAGAATCTCGTAAGAAGTAGAGCTTCTCTAAGCAAAGGACCTTTGAGTTTGAAACGACTAAAAGAAGACACAAAAGTCATGAGGAACATCATTGCAATACTTATAGCTTTCGTGGTATGCGTGACTCCAATTAGTATCTATGGAATAATGTTTTTTTTTGTTTGGGGTATGAATGTGCCCTGTGGCATGGAAAACTACGGTTTTGCTGCTCACTTTTTTCTCTATGCGAACGCATCGGTCAATCCATGGATATATTTTGTGTTCAACGATAAATATCGTCGTGGTTTCGAGAACATTTTAGGAAAACTCCTTGTCGTTAGAAACGGAATGGAGTCTAGAAGGGGATCACCGCACGCATTAGAAATGGCAGGTGTCTGATCATCTGCTTACTTACATGTGGGAGGACTGCTTTCAAGTTTTTAAAAGACGTTGAGAAGCGAAGTGTTGTAGTGAAAGAAAGTTCATAACGTACCCTCCTCCTTAGTCTTTTCGTCCTCCGCTTATTACACTTGTGGTGCCGGTAAGTTTGCAAGCTTTTTTTTTTTTACCGAAAGCCAGATTTCAAGGGAAAAGAAATGTACGAGAATTTGTACGGGATGTCGAAATATTGTGGTATATTTCCCCACAAACGGGGAAGCATTTTATTTCCAACTGCGAGATACCTTGAAGAGAAGTCTCAGGCAATTCTTCGTATCGGTAACTCTCTTATAATATTTATCAGCTGAAGACAAAGTAGACCCAAACTTTTAAGAGTGTTAGAGAAGTTCCATTTTGACTTTTGACAATATATACAACACCATTGGTTTAAATAGGTTTAATACTGGCTTTTGCTATTAGTTAGCAAGAGAGCCGCGATAGCCTTGTTATTGACAATTGTAAATATAGCACGAAACAACTTAGTTCTTTGAGTTTTCATAAAGTATCGCCAGTATTGATTAGTCTTGTTCTACCTCACTGGCTTGTTTCTGTTATTTTTGTTGTTGTTGTTTTTTTTTTAGGCCAACCAAGAGAAGTTTCTAAGGCCTACTCTGAGTAGTCGCCCTAAAGTCGCTATTAATTACGCAATGTTATAAGATCAGAGGAGAAGGCATGGTGGTCAATGTGTCATCACTAATTGCAAAAAAAATTATATATGGCAGAAACTGAACGGACGAATTGGTGACCAATTCGAGAACACCTTCGCGACATAGAAAGGAACGACAAGGGCGCATCCAAACCAGTCGCTAGGCACTTCAATCTCTATCATTCTAAGCGGCATATGGAAGTTTGTGGCCTTTCCTTACATCTAGGCGATTCTGAAAGCCGCACAACTCTTGAACAAAAATTTATCTTTCAAATCGGCTCTCTTAATTCTCACGGTATCAACAAAGGCTTTTCATTCAATTTATGTATCCTTGTTTTCCTCGTCGCCATATTCCCGCTAATAGCGTAATTCCATTTTCTGCGCATAAACACACACACACAACCCACAATTCCTGCATTCGCTCTGATGAAGGGCTAACTCGAATTGCCAACGTTGAAACTCTTGGCGGTAGCCAATTTGCATTATCAACTCAGTTGCTAAATTGAACTACAACAGCTACACCACGCATTCATAAAATCGTCAATTTAGTGGAAAGAGTCAAAACAAAACGGAATATTTATCTCTCTGTAGTTTCTTCCCTTTGATTGATCTGAGTCAATATTATCAAGGCTTTAGAGGCGAAGGAGTGAATAGTAAGGTCCACATCAGCTAACAGACTAAGCACCTATTCTCATCATTTTTTCAGTGTGGATTGGTGCATATAACTCTTTTTGTACTAAAAAATTCAACGAGTCTACCTGAGTTATTCCTTGGAAGTGCAACCGGTCTTATCTTGACTGAGTATGATTGACCAAAATTGTGGAAAAAATATAACACATTTCAGTCTATATTGTTGCAAACCCTTTCGAGGCGATTCGAATGCAGGAAAAGGAGTTGAGATAGCATTTTACTGTGTCCTTTAATTGACGTCAACTCTTGGAAATTCGTTGCTTATTGCAATTATTAAGATGAACAAACGGATGCAGACCATTACGAATTATCTCATCGCCAACATGACTGTCTCTGAAATTATTATCAACTTATTATTTGTTCCTAATTAGTGGGCCCTCGAAGATGGCTGGTCATTGGGTCGTCGGGTTTCGTTTTGCATAATAGCGCTTCCTTTCTACAAGACATCACGACTGCTGTTTTCTAAAAAAAAACCTGCGTTTAATTATTGAAAAGATGCCTGTTTCAGCAAACGTCGAGTAGCATTCGTGCATCGATAACAATCGAGCGCATGGAAGTAAAATGCCTTAGTGTAGGGGGCTACCTTAGGCGAGTTTTGGGCCAAATACAAAGATAATCAGGGACAGGCTGTTGTTTCATCGCAGGAGCACCAGTTGTTTTGTTGCAGGAGGGCGACTCTTAGCAATGTCTTTGAGGGGGGTTTGCTTAAAAGAAATCCCGATTTTTGAACAAAAAAAAAGTGACAAATGATAAAACGCCAACTAGATAAACTGACCAATGAACCTATCAGAGGTTTTTGCCGAGTAGAAGAAAAAAAATAAACCAAAGTCATTCAGGAGATTCAACCGAAAAAAAAATCAGAAATTGTATAAGAGAGCATTGTTCATAGAAATTTGAAGAAAAACTGATACAACTCTGATAGTTGTTTCGACGAGTCCGACTTAAAATTTTCCCTCCATTCGCATGCGGAGGTTTTCTTGTTTTGTTTTATTTTTGTTTGTTTTGATCTGAAAACAGCTCGTAAATATTCTGCACACTTTCATCTTAAGATATTTTATCTCTTGGCCGGCAAGAGCTTAATATCTTCTTGGATCAAAGAACAACCCCATAATTCGCGGAAAATTGATACCTTCATACTAAGAACAAGCTTCGAATTCCCTTAATTGTTCTGATTCGTATCTTCAGATATAATATTGATGGGAAGCAAGACCTTTTTGCTGCATATGCATCGAAAAGTGAAAACATTGTAGCAATATGATGTCCATAATGTTCGCTTAATAAAGTATATTCTATATACAAGGCTAAAAGATTAGGAAAAAAATATTAAAATGTTTAAACCAAACGTTTTCGGCTGTTTGCCATCATTAGGGTTGAAAATAATGACCGTCTGCACATACATATGTATCTTATGTCATTCCCGATGGGAAAAGTTTGGAGATATGAGAAACAACTTGTTTGAACATAGTCTCAAACTTCGCCGTATCAATGCTGACTTCTCTATCTTACGGCCAGCTTTTGTGTCCAAACACAGAACCGGAGTCTCACGCGTCAAACTCATACATCGCATGGTATCCAAATTCCTGCGTCTCAGTAGAGCGTTTTAATTCTCTTTGTAGTACTAAGAACAAAAAACTTTCAAAACTTCTGAAGAGTAAACATGAGTCGAAGTACTTTTCAGTACCCATTGTTAACCTCTCGAGTAAAGATACTACCTTACATTATTTACGTTATGGACTCAACCATAGCTTCATCGACAAGAACCAACACGTGAAACTTAACTTCCTGTCGGAGTTTGAACTTCTCTTTAACCAAGTTAGCTTGAGCATCCCTGTTCGCCAAAATGAAGATCTCAATCATTTCCTTCGCGTTAATTCTAACCTCTTCCACCAAAACATTTTCAGCACTCCCAACTACACTTACAAAGTCTTACATAAACTAGCATCAGATCCCGACATGGTGGTCTTCTCTGGTGATAAAGATTCATCTGTCGTCATTATGCAACGCGCCGACTACTTCAACAAACTTGAAACTATGATCGAAGAAGGCACAGCCGACGGGAAATACGTAGTGACTGAGGACAACACACTAAAAGACCTCAAATCTTTTTAAGCTTTTCTGACCCGAAACTTCAAGTGATCTCTGCCACTGAGTAAAGTCAAACCGACATCAAACCAGCCTGCTTTCCTATATGGGACTGCCAAAACCCATAAATTCCACAACCCTGAACAAATTACGACGGACAATTTGAAACTTCGACCGATTGTCAGCACTTGTGCAACCTTTTATCATGAAACCGCCAAATTCCTAGCCTCTTACTTACTTCCTCTCACTGAGAACGAATGCACCGTAAAAACTACCACCGATTTCGCTGATCGTCTAAGAAACAGATCTGTTGATAATTATGAAGTCTTGGTCTCGTATAATGTGTCCTCTCTCTTTGCTGAAGTTCCGCTCGTTGATACCATTGACCACATCATTCGTGAAATTTACACTAACAACAAGCTACCACAACTCAGCTCAAAGTTACTCTTCAGACGCCTTCTCTGTAATGTCACCAAGAACACAGTTTTCAGTTTTAATGACAAGCTATATAAACAAACTGACGGATGCGGCATGGGCAACCCACTATCTCCAGTCCTTGCAAATATTTTCATGGCTAAATTAGAAGCTGATGTACTCCAACCTTTCAACCCGCCATTCTATGACCGGTATTTTGACGATTGTTTCTCTAAGAAGAGAAAGGACGAGCCTGATGCTCTATTTGAACGGCTAAATCACTATCACCCTAACATAGTTTTCACTGCCGAGAAAAACCCCAACCACTTCCTCGATACTGCCTTTAGTTATAACAACAAATTCAATTGCAGCGTCTTCAAGAAACCGGGGAAACTACCAACACATTGGAAATCTGAGGTCCCTACCAAATGGAAAAGGAATTGCATCACTGACGCACTCCATAGAGCCAAACACATCTCCACCGATCTTGACAAGGACATAAAAACTCTTCAAACATCTTTTATCAATGCAGGTTATCCCAAACGTTTCATTTCGCATACAATTAACAACTTTCTAAACGACTCATCACAAGATGACAACATCATCCCAAATTTTCTCTTTGAAGATCGAAAGAAAGTTTTTATCAAGCTTCCTTTTTGCGGTAAAAACGAAAAACTCGGTAAGACGTTTGTTGCAAAACTCAACGAGTTCACTAATTTTAATCTCATCTTTGTAATCCTGAGGCAAACTAGGCAAATTAAAAGCCTTTTTAATAACAAAGACGGAAACACTCACAGAAATTTGTTTACAAAGGAGATTGTTCTTGTGGCGTTGATTACATTGGCGAAACTGTGAGAAATTTAGCAGTACGTATTGCGGAGCATTCAAATCCTGCTCACACCTCTGAACCTGCAAAACACTTGCGGGAAAATCCATCACATTCTTTCACTTGGCGTGTTCTCTCCTCAGCGCACAAATTCCACGAGCATCAGATCGTCGAGGGGCTAATGATCCAACAATTCCACCCCTGTTTGAACAGACAAGCTATTTCGTACGTCTCCAAACTTTTCCCATCGGGAATCACATAAGATATATATGTATGTGCAGACGGTCATTATTTTCAACCCAGATGATGGCAAACAGCCGAAAACGTTTGGTTTAATAAAATCTTCCTTTTGTCACTACATTGCTATTTTCATGTCTCTAACTATGCAAGCTGTTAATTAGTTATGATATTAGTAAAACTACAAAGCTTTGTGTGAATCTTAGTAAAGAATAGGGATTTAGAATGGGAGGGTAGTTCAGAATATCCTTGCAGGCCTCAATTTGGGATTAGAACACATATTGCAAGTAACAGTTTCTAAATTGTCAGGTTAGTGCAATATTTTTTGGGCTCAGCAAGACCAGTGCCATCAGGCTACTTGCCCCAGGGTGCTGGAGGGCAATGAGAATGCTTGTCACTTGACTTGTGGTTGCTCAAACCCTAACCCAACTGTAACCCTAACCCTAAACCGTGACCCTTTCATCAAAATACTGGAAAAAGGTCAATAGATTTCTGCAACCCCAACCCTAGCCATTGGGTTACGTCGAGACTCGCCATTGCTGTCTCCTCAGGGTGTCAAATACCTTAGTCAGGTGATTTTAATTTTT